AGAGTCGTAATGTGGAAGCTGGAGGTCGACTGGGTGAGGCTGAAGGTCGATGGGCGGGGGTCGAAGGCTGGAGGTGGAATATTGGAATTCGATAGCTGGCAACGGACGCTGAGAAACGTAATATGGGAGCTGGAGGTCGAATGGGTGAGGCTGAAGGTCGATGGGTGGAGGTCGAAGGCTGGAGGTGGAAAATTGGAACTCGGTAGCTGGTAATGGACACTGTGAGTCAGAATCTGGGAGCTGGAGGTCAGTTAGGTGAGGTTGGGGGTCAATGGGTAGAGGTTGAAAGGTGGAAATCAAAAAAATTGAATCGATAGACGGTGGTGGGCGCTCTGGGCCGGAAGGTCGAAGCTGGAGGTCGGCCAGGTGGGGCTGAAACTCGGTAGGTGGAGGTCGATAGTTGGAGGTCGAAGACTGTGGGACGATAACTGGTGGTGGAGGCTCGGAATCGGAATGTCGAAGCTGGACGCTGGTCAGGTGGGGCTGACAGTCGATAGGTTGAGGTCGAAAGCTGGGGGTGGAAAGGTGGAAGTCGATAGCTGGTAATGGACGTTGAGAGTCGTAATGTGGAAGCTGGAGGTCGACTGGGTGAGGCTGAAGGTCGATGGGCGGGGGTCGAAGGCTGGAGGTGGAAGATTGGAATTCGATAGCTGGCAACGGACGCTGAGAAACGTAATATGGGAGCTGGAGGTCGAATGGGTGAGGCTGAAGGTCGATGGGTGGAGGTCGAAGGCTGGAGGTGGAAAATTGGAACTCGGTAGCTGGTAATGGACACTGTGAGTCGGAATCTGGGAGCTGGAGGTCAGTTAGGTGAGGTTGGGGGTCAATGGGTAGAGGTTGAAAGGTGGAAATCAAAAAAATTGAATCGATAGACGGTGGTGGGCGCTCTGGGCCGGAAGGTCGAAGCTGGAGGTCGGCCAGGTGGGGCTGAAACTCGGTAGGTGGAGGTCGATAGTTGGAGGTCGAAGACTGTGGGACGATAACTGGTGGTGGAGGCTCGGAATCGGAATGTCGAAGCTGGACGCTGGTCAGGTGGGGCTGACAGTCGATAGGTTGAGGTCGAAAGCTGGGGGTGGAAAGGTGGAAGTCGATAGCTGGTAATGGACGTTGAGAGTCGTAATGTGGAAGCTGGAGGTCGACTGGGTGAGGCTGAAGGTCGATGGGCGGGGGTCGAAGGCTGGAGGTGGAAGATTGGAATTCGATAGCTGGCAATGGACGCTGAGAAACGTAATATGGGAGCTGGAGGTCGAATGGGTGAGGCTGAAGGTCGATGGGTGGAGGTCGAAGGCTGGAGGTGGAAAATTGGAACTCGGTAGCTGGTAATGGACACTGTGAGTCAGAATCTGGGAGCTGGAGGTCAGTTAGGTGAGGTTGGGGGTCAATGGGTAGAGGTTGAAAGGTGGAAATCAAAAAAATTGAATCGATAGATGGTGGTGGGCGCTCTGGGCCGGAAGGTCGAAGCTGGAGGTCGGCCAGGTGGGGCTGAAACTCGGTAGGTGGAGGTCGATAGTTGGAGGTCGAAGACTGTGGGACGATAACTGGTGGTGGAGGCTCGGAATCGGAATGTCGAAGCTGGACGCTGGTCAGGTGGGGCTGACAGTCGATAGGTTGAGGTCGAAAGCTGGGGGTGGAAAGGTGGAAGTCGATAGCTGGTAATGGACGTTGAGAGTCGTAATGTGGAAGCTGGAGGTCGACTGGGTGAGGCTGAAGGTCGATGGGCGGGGGTCGAAGGCTGGAGGTGGAAGATTGGAATTCGATAGCTGGCAATGGACGCTGAGAAACGTAATATGGGAGCTGGAGGTCGAATGGGTGAGGCTGAAGGTCGATGGGCGGAGGTCGAAGGCTGGAGGTGGAAAATTGGAACTCGGTAGCTGGTAATGGACACTGTGAGTCAGAATCTGGGAGCTGGAGGTCAGTTAGGTGAGGTTGGGGGTCAATGGGTAGAGGTTGAAAGGTGGAGATCAAAAAATTGGAGTCGATAGCTGGTGGTGGGCGCTCTGGGCCAGAAGGTCGAAGCTGGAGGTCGGCCAAGTGGGGTTGAAACTAGGTAGGTGGAGGTCGAAAGTTGGAGGTCGAAGACTGTGGGGCGATAGCTGGTGGTGGAGGCTCGGAATCGGAATGTCGAAGCTGGACGCTGGTCAGGTGGGGCTGACGGTCGATAGGTTGAGGTCGAAAGCTGGGGGTGGAAAGGTGGAAGTCGATAGCTGGTAATGGCCGTTGAGAGTCGTAATGTGGAAGCTGGAGGTCGACTGGGTGAGGCTGAAGGTCGATGGGCGGGGGTCGAAGGCTGGAGGTGGAAGATTGGAATTCGATAGCTGGTAATGGACACTGTGAGTCAGAATCTGGGAGTTGGAGGTCAGTTTGGTGAGTTGGACGGTGGAGGAGTCGAGATGGAGCTGGAGGTGGAAAGTCGGATCCTTGAGGCTGGAGGGCGGGGTGTTGAGCTGACGGGAGTTGGAGGTCGAAAGCTGCGGGCGCAAGTGTCGCCGGCGTCGGAGAGGCCAGAGTCGGAGAAACCAGAAGCGGATGACGAAGGCGTGGATCCGCACGTCCCTGTAGAGGAACTGTGCCACTGCAAGTAGGAGAACGTCTTGTGCATGTGGGTGGCTTCATTTCCAGAATCGGAACTGGAGTGGATCTCGAACTGCTTGCGGTAGTGGTAGCTTTGCCCACGTCCGTAGCCTTCTCAAGAACCGTAAAACCTGCCGGAAATGCATGTGAATGAGGTTGGGGCTCCAAAGCCTGAGGATGGAAGTCGAAAGGTGGAGGTCGTGAGTCGGAAGGTGGAGGTTGGGAGTCAGAAGGTGGAGGTGGAAGCCGATGCTGGGAGG